AGATGTTGGATCTGTATCTGTCAGATCCTCCCCTTTCTCCTTTCCTTCAATACGAATCCCCCTCCCTTCCCTCTCCCTACCATCTTCCTGAGTCTTCCCAACTTTCTACCTCTTGTTGTCAGTTTTACAAAGAGGTTTAACATTTTAACAGTCCTTCCTCCCTCCACCGACTAAAAAAACTGCCATCGATGTGGGGGGGGAGTGGCACCATTGAACAGCTTCTAATTTTAGATTTGTTTTGCTCACGCCCTCCCAACCTACTAATGCTCACACCCCTGCAACTGTACTTTTCTGAAGAATACTACACCTCAACCACCTCACCCCCCCGCCCCTCCCTAGGTTAAAGCGATAGTGATGATATTCGCAGTCTGGGTCTTCAGGTCATATGTCGCTGGCACTGTCAGTACTGCTTAGAGCATTCACATGACATGACTAATGTACGCAACCATTGCGAAGCCCGCAGGCCGTTAATCTTCCAAGAATCGCCTATCGTTTGACAAATGCTATGATTCAGCTAATGGTAAGAGAAAATCCCTTTGTTGTTTGAACCACTTCTGGTGCGCTATCGCCTTGTTCACTTGTTTATGGGTTTGTTTGTCTCTTCGTTCGAAAAATGCACTTTCATATTAGCGGACAGCGATAAGGGAACTGATAGGAGACACCTGCCATCGCCAAAAATAAGAAATAATCGGCATTTTACCAACGATCGAAGTGCGGTGGTTATGGTTACACCCTGCCATTATGGTATGGGCAGGCCGTTCAGTGCTATAATACATTGGTATTACACGGGATGCTTGCACCGCATCTGAACTCTGAATTAGCCCTTTGTAACATACGCAGGAAAAAGGAAGCCTGGAAGATGCTGGGGGACCGGAGTGGTCATGCATAATCACAACCGGGACGTCCCCGTGTTTACCTCATAGGCATTGGCTGGTAGAGACAAATACTTTCTGCGAGCTAGTTGAGCCAAAGCTTGAAGGAATTCTACGAATTCAGCGCTTTTGTAGCTGATCGGGGAAAAAGTGACAGTTAACCTGATGAGCTGCATAATTGCCACATCGAATCGATGGTCTCAGATTATCTGTGAACCGCGAAGCCCTCCTCCTCCTTCCTTTTTGCTTACTCCTTCCTTCTTTTTCTTCCTTCCTTCTCTCATCCTTCTTCCTTATTTTCCTTCCTCTGAATGTTCGAACAGAAGATGCGATGAGAAACTCCTCTGGACCCTCACAGCAAGAGAGGTTGACAGATGTCTTGTAACCCGAATCGATGAGATCCTAGCACGAATGCCGTGTTCGTATGTTTTGGTTACAAGGCATCTGTCAATCAGATGTTCTCTCGCTGCGAGGGTCCAGGGGTGTTTTCTCTTCGCATCTTCTGGCTTCTGGTCCAGCAGAGTAGAGGAAGGGAATTAAGGAAAAGGGATGACAGAGGGAAAGGAGAAAAAGAAGGAAGGAAGAAGGAAAAGACAAGGAAAAGGAGGGCTTCGCGTTGATAGATATCCCGAGACCTGGTTTCTCTCGTACGATTGCTTTCCCGGTGGAGCATTTCGAATATGTTGAGCTATACTCGGGGCAAGCGAGGTTACTTAACAGCTTGAACTGTGCCCTGTTGCGAATCTCTTCGCCACTGAGCTTAGAAAGTGAGAGCGGCCCCAGCGCCGAATGGATAGATGCGCTAGATCCCGCTAACCGAGCGAGTGGATGCGTACTCGCCCGGTTAGCGGGATGTGCGAGTTCGAGTCCCGCCTAGGGCCTGGTTTTTACCGATCACTCAGCACCCTTGCTATATCCTGTTACGGAACCTTATAATACAGACAGATGGAGGATAGCGGCGGCCAAAGCATCGGAATAAATAGAGAGAATGTTTCGAGCCAAAGGATGAGTGCTTTCAGTAAAAAGGGACGCGAACGTGGGCGAGGTGGCCTGCTCACCAGGTCAGCTTTCGAGTCCCGGTAAGCCTTGTCTAATGTTTCATGAATCTTTATAGCGCCAACCGCCTATTTTTTTCAGCGAATCGCTCTTTTGCGTAGCTGGAAGCAGTGTCCCAAGTTAGACTCTGGAATTTTGAGGGAATCTGTATCAGACCGAGAACTGTCCTTAAACAGTGTTGATTAGTTGGTGTTTTGCTGTACGGCTTAGCAGCAAATCGATGGAAGGTCCCTTATCAGAAGTACTTCTCCTCTGTTCGCTTCTCAAAAGGGTTGTACTTCTCCAGTCTGCCCACGACCCCAGATGTCTTCTGAGCCGTTTCCCCATCTTAGAAGTGTCGCATTCAGCTGACATTGTTTTCGTTAGAAAATTCCGCGTCGATGGATCGAATGTCTTCTTGGTACAATTAACCTGGTCCACAGTCCCGAAGGCTGTCCTTCTTTCGCAGCTCCACAGAGAGTTCCGCAGGAGTGCGCCACGACCATCACATGTCGAAGGAGAGCCACCCCTAGTATGTACCCCTTCTAAAACAGATGTGACGAGTTGTGTTCGTTCAATATGGGACTCACTTTTCTCGTAATGCTCGTATTCTAGTCAGCCGTCCTGCTCTCTCCATCCTTTGGCTCTAGTCCTCTCACGGGCATTGTCTCAGCTCTTCGAATACTCGTCCGAAACCATCGGAGGGCCTTAGGGAGCCTTCGATGGTTTTTCCACTCTTCTTCACAGTTGAGTCGAGATTCATATTTGGTTCCGCATTCTTCATATACATGGCAGTAAGGCTGCGTTCGTACTTTTTGTCAGCGTTCTGAGCGCTTCTGGAATTTTGAGCGCTTCTGACAAAAAGGAAAAGTATAATTACCGGTCTCGATTTTTCAGCGTTCTGAGCTTTGGTAGCATTTTAGGCATTTTTTTCGCTCACAGTGCTCAAAAGGACGACGAAAGGTGTGAACGCAACCTAACTATATGGAGCCGCATCTGAGACTGCCGACATAGGACGCGTGCGCTTGCAACGATATTTTTGACTCGATGGGTACAATTCTGTGACCCCTTGGTGTCGTCTCTGTTTCGAAACGAGTCGTTTTTAGTGCCTTCCGTATATGTTTTTTAAGCAAAGTAAGAAGGTACCGCAAAGTTGAAAGTTTCAAAGATTAGACATTTTCAGAGAGATGCTGCGACGTGCCAGCGGATTACTCGGTCGGAACTCGCTCACTAAGGTAAGCGTAAATTCCGGGCTTACTTGAAGTTCTTGCGCACTGCACATGCACATGTCCTGCATCAACATATGATTTTTCGGCGCTAATAACCTTGCAGTTGGAGGGGATGAGGCACTACATAGCACGTTAACGACGCCTTGAAACGCCATGGACGATAAGGCTGTACAGGAGTTCCCTTCCATTTCCGTTTTAATGTAATGGCTCATCTCACTAACAAGTTAGATGACAAGTTATTTGCCAGCCGTTGGCTGGTAACGGACCTAGGCTTCACCTGCGCCATTGTTACCCCTCTCCTTTGCGCCACACGCTTCTGAAATGAATGCTTAATCCTAGATCTTATCAGTTTTCTCCTACATGATATGGAAATAAAAAGTTTCCCTGGTCAGAGTTTTCTTCTTACTTTCCCACCTATTTAATTACTTCCGACGAGAATTTTATTAACTATTTTCTTTTTACTATTAACTTATTTTCTTCTTGGACGTTTCGACTGAGATTGAAAAACTGAGCCGTGGCGGCTTGGCGAACGTGAAACAAGGGATTGTGAGACGTTGAAACTGCGACTGTGTTTTCTCCAATAAAAAGCTCTTGCGTCCAGCAACAATCACTGCTCTTCTACCTCTTGCCAGCGTCTTTTGTCCTTTTGATAAAGTAGAAAAGCTCGCTAACCATTATCATAACAAAGGTTGATCTTCTTATGCAGCATTAATCAAGCGCAATTTTTTCGTCGTTAAAAGTCTAGGAAATAGTGTTTAGAAGAGTACTTCAGTCTAGCTGGGATTTGAAGGGAAACCTCTACACTGAGAACGGCATTTGGAAAACGGCACGATTCTGATCATTCGGTTCAAAGTTGATGATCGCAGTTATAAATTGATCATCCTTGGCAATTTGTGCTCGGGAGAGTAACAGCGCTATTCGGTGACAGGAAGGAGGCATTATGCACCTTCGCTGCTCCCCATTGTCGTGCTCTTCGCTTGCCAAGAATTGACAAATAGTTTCTATAGACTCAAACTGGTGTCACTTCATGGCTTCACCAGATTTTCCAAATCTCTGTCTGATGGCTCGACATGACAGTGGGAAGTAGCGAAAATACGAATTCCCGCTGCCTCCCTCCCCCCTTGCCGAAATGGACGCGACAAAATCACGTCATGTTGCCCAGAGCAGGGAAGGGTTCACTTAAAAAGGTGACATGGAGGTTGATTAAGACATGTTAGAATATCCCAAGGCTCGGCGAGAGGGTGCTCGATAATACAAGTATACAGTTCTGCGGTTTGCCTACTCGACAGCTTTTTGGAGAACGGTTACAATAGCTCCTTCCGAAGACCGTTAAATGGTTCTTGATCCTATGAAGCTTGAAATTGATGTAGAATGTTCTTGCTTACTCTGAGTACTATTATTTCAGGCGCCGGGAAAGGTGGGTTGGAGACCATGCGGCTGGGTGCGGCATAGCGTGCACTCATCCCCTCCCTCTCATCTAACTCTTCCAGCATCCTTATTGATTTGACATTTCTCCTTTCTATGATCTTTTTCATATTCAGGCTGGTCAGCTGCGGTTTCTGAACTTACAAGAGTACCAGAGTAAAACACTGCTTGACAATCATGGCTGCACTGTACAAAAGTTCATTGTGGCATCCTCTCAGAAGGAAGCTGATGAGAAGACAAAGGCCCACGGTTCGTTTGTTGTTTCATGGGTGAATATCGAATTATTGCCTCCTCACTTCTTCACATGTAACCGACCGCCTTTCAGGTCTTGTAGGAAACATTGAGTATGTGGTGAAAGCGCAAATTCTTGCCGGTGGCCGTGGAAAAGGTCGTTTTATCAACGGAAAGGAAGGATTGGGCGGCGTTTTCGTGACTATGGAGTGAGTATTATAGATTCTTCTCGAGTAATACTTAACGTTTTCCAATTCCTGGCCCCTCTAAGGCTAATGCTTTCAGCACTGTTTACTCTTTACTGCCCCAATAATTCAAATTTGGGGTCGTTTTTTCTTGAAATTTATATCTAGAGATGAATTTGGCCATAAAGTGACCCTGTTTGAGTTTATCCAAATGATTATGAATAGCGCAACTGTTTTTCGCAAAAATTTCTGATAATAGTGCCTTTTTCGTGACTCACATTTCTGATGAATGAAGAATAACACGTAAACTGGTGGGAATAAAATCCTACACTTGTATTCTCGCTTGTAGAAAGGGAGTTGATCAGCAACACCTTCGCACTATTTTCCTCAACTCTTGGCATTTCTGTGAGTTCGTAGATCATGCAGGGTTTGTTAATCGTGCCACAAAGCGGGCGGATGTGAAAGGTGTGGAGCCGCGTTCGCGACATTCGCACCAAGGACCAACTCCCTCGACATGCCAGCAGCGTAGCGCGACTCTATCTCCCAAGTCGGCTTGTACTGCGATGCCGCGCTGGGAAGTAAGGCTCCCCAAACTAAACTGCAACACTTCGGAAGGGGCTGGACGTCGTGGTGGTGCGATCTAAGGAAAGTCCACTCAGTGAGCGTGAATTGAATGTTAATGCCCTTGAATTTCTTGTTTTCGATAGTCATACAAACGCAGTGTTGTGTTCATGTTTTGAATGCTTCTAATTACAGCTTCTTCGATTTGCTGAGAGAAGGGGTGTCAGGCGAGTATTGGACGCGATCACCTAAACCCATCTCCTCACACTCTCACTAATCAAATGCGCCACAAGGGTGTATCATATCGTCTGAATCAGTCATTTCCACTGACTGTCACTATACCCACTTTCACACAACGGGTACAGAAATATTATGGTGGCGCGGAACCCCAGTATCACTATACACGCACTCACGACCCCCTTTAATCCGCGAAACAAGACTATGCATTTCGTTGCTAGCCTATAAAGTACTCATTCTGCATGTTTCAGTCGATAAAAAGCTCTGGATTCCAGTTTGGCTGAGATGGTGAGAATACGTTCGTCACAACGCAAACCCCAAGGAAGTAGTTAACGTGCGAAACACCGTACTGTACCTGTGTTATTTTTTTGGAAAGTTTTCGAGGCTTAGATACTTCATTTTCAGCGTTTTACTTTTTTCAACGAAAAATAATCAATTGCATTTCATTTTTTTCAATAGTTTTTCGGCACAAGTTCGTCTTGATGGGACATTTTCGTTGGTCCTATCGCTATTTACTCACTATCTCTGTGTGAGTCTATTATCTTTCCTGCTATAAGGTCTCACTTAAGAAAATTAAATGTGTTTAAGAAATATTCAAGAGAAACCAGCAAAATATATTAAAGCCCCTTCCAGGATCCGAACAGTACCATTTTTTTGTTTCTATTACTGTTCTCATGTTCAGTGATGTCCAAAATCGTGTGTAACAATAAATAACGCGAAGCACTACGTGCAGTCGCTCTTATGGACAGACAATCAAATGTCCCTTATAGTGGATTGCCTCGTTCCTAAAAAGCTGAGAGGAATGGATATTTGAGATGTGGCCAAGAAACGCCGAACTATATTCAAGTTCTGTCAAGTCAATGAAAATAGAAGTCAACGCAGCGAAGAGATTAGCTCAATGCTCTGCTTTCGTGGGAAGCAGTGTGGTGAATCATTGCACGTTTTATGTGGGATCGCCAAGCGAGGGCCGGTATTGTGTCGCTGGACAGGATAGTGCTAAGAAAATGTAGAAAACTTGGGGTGCAAATCTTAGGTGCTGGATAGTTGTGGATGGAGGGGCTGGCTTATCAGCCAGGAATGACATTTCGAGTGGGGGGGATTTTTTTGTCGAATTTAGCTGAAGCGCGATAGGTGCCCTCGGTGAGTTAGTGTTTATCTGGTCCCGCGCTGAGCAACTGCATTCTCATCAGGCGCAATATCTCCTATTATAGTTGATTTTCAGGAACCTATCGATATCTCAATTGGTATAACCGATGCGCAGGCCATGAAAATTGCAGGAAATGTCGGATTTAGTGGAAGTCTTGTGAAAGATGTGAGTTCCAGTTGACCTCCTGTAATTCGAGTTGCCGGGAGTTAGGGTAATGTACTCTGAATCCTTGTACTAATCGTTTTCGAATTGATTCAAGTGTAGTGTGTGGGGGCAGAGTGAGGCGGGATGTATATTGTCAATTCCAAGTCGCGACGTGGGCATCAAAAGTTGCGTTATAATGAGGGTTACGCGCATGGCATTCGCGCTAAGACAAAATTGACTCAACGGGGCAGCGCAGCACCGCAGCACTGTGCCAAGTAAAGTAGCTAGGAAATGCTCTTCTAGTTGGCGCGCAGCGTTGCGACGTGGAACAGTCTTGTTAGCTGCGGATGCCGTGTCAGAGGGCTGAGCATGGCGCGGGCTCGCCTGTTTTTCATCAGTCTTCGTGTTTCTGCTTCAACGACGGGTGAAGAACAGGTTGGGGCTACCAAACGCAGCCCACCCCCTGACACTGCCCAATAACCCAGCGGACAATACTGTATATACGTCCAGCCAGATGACAGCGGTAGTAGATCAGGCCTGATCTGAGTATGTCTGCGTTCTCCCATCGAGATAGCGTTCGTCCAGTAATGTTCTGTTAGTCGTAGCCTCGGGGTTCAGTGGAAATGAGTGTGGCCTAGTCTCATCTGGTGTCCCCTACTATACTAGTGTCCAAATTCATTCTAACAAAACTTCAGGCTTTAGTTAAAGCATATGTAGTGCTTGGTACCGACCGAAGTTCTCAGCGTGAATCTTCATTTGCAAGCCTGAAACTTCTCTGAATTATTTTCAGAAGTGCAAACATTCACTGCGGTTCAGTGACAGTCCATTTTAAGGAGTTTTCATGAACATCAGTGTATCATTTCACCTCTGAGAACGACGGTCCAGTGAAAATCCCATTTTTCAAAAGAGAACTATTTAAAAAACCTCGTTTGGTTAGTACTGCTGTCTCAAAACACATTTACCGGTTTTTTAGGCTGCCGAAGAGATTAAACGTCTGTATAAACTGTTCCTAGCCGTTGATGCCACCCAGATTGAAATTAATCCATTTGTCGAAACTGAGGACGGCCGTGGTGAGTCCAACATTTTTTGGTACTTAAAAATTAAACCTGCTGGCATTTAACTTGGGCCACGTGGCAACGCCACTGCGCCCCTTACCCCAAACATGGCTAAAGTTAAGAGCCAAGACGAACAGAGTCGCTTCGGGGTGTGTGACAAGAGAATCGTAATTCGCCGCGCTGATTTGCGTCGCGCCGCAAATGGCAATGTTTCCATGTGGTCGTAGATGTCGATAACAGGCAATGCATCGAAAAACGTCATGAATGTCAACGATGACGAGGCTCACACCGCGCACATCGCCGCGCGCGGCAAAGCGGCGAAATACGATTCTCTTGCCCGTCTGCCGTCGCTTCGGGATCTGAAGTTAAG